GTCGTCTGTGGCAGATCTCTGGCCGGCTCTTTACCTGTTTAGATTATGGGTCGTCTGTGGCAGATCTCTGGCCGGCTCTTTACCTGTTTAGATTAATGGGTCGTTTCCGATCTGGGCAAATTTGGATGAACTGGGGATGAATTGGGTTCACTTGATCTGGGCTTGTTTTATTATTATTATTATTATTATTATTATTATTTTATTATTATTATTATTATTTTTAAAAAATTATTGTTCTTTTCCCATACCCAAACCCTAGATCTACTTTACTTATGTTTTATATATTTTATTTATTTGAACACCTTGGATTTGAAGCCCACGTAGTGGAAAGGTGTCTACTTTTCTACTTTTTATTAAGTTTTTAAAGATTGATTGGGAGTGGCCCACGTCATTTGTGGTCCTGGCCCAATTTCTTTCTTGGCCCGTTGCTTGTATTTTATTTTTTATATATATATATATTTAAAAAAAGTATTTTACAATTGAGACTAATTGGGATTGGAAAACAGGAAATCCTATATATGTATATAAAATTGTTCTGTAGACTGCAAAACAGGGACCCTTAGATTTAGGAGACCCCTGATATTGGGCCCTCCTCTCCAATCCAAAGGTCGTCATTTTGCAGTTTGATATAGTCCGGACTGCAGAACAGGGAACTATATATATATATGATACCGTTAAAAATAAAATGTCCATATTTTTACTGTCTCTGTATTTAGCGTCTTTGCTGTACTCTTATATTATTTTTACACAAATATTTTTTTGTTGGTTTAACGTCATCATTATCTATTTACTTCGATTATTTATATTTCCACAAAAAGTATAGGTAAATCGTTCCCAAATCCTTAATTTGGAGGAAAAGTCAAAAAATAACACTTATTTTGGGCAGAAGGAGTATAGATTGTTTTTCCATTTTCTATTATTTTGGTATTAAATTATGAACAATTTTTAAGAATAATGGCAAGGGAAGTGGTATGAAGTGTAAGTCTTGGCTTGTAAGTAACAGAAACTGGAACAGCCTGCCTGGTGCCTGCATCTTATATTATTGTAGTGAACTTAAGAAGATTGGCTTCTTTGGTTTATCTTGAACATCCATCCTCAACTGGGTCTCCACGCTCCCACCACTCAAAAGAAAAAAAAAAATTGTAAACTTATGTTGATCTTAGAGTAAGGTTTTAGCAATGATAAAAGTTATTCTCGAATTTTTTTCAATCTTTGTTTGATTTTCAGTTTACAGTTGACATGATCACTGAGTCATGGTTTTTCCTCCCTGTTTTTATATTATTCTGCACGTTCTACTTGTTATGTTTGGAATTTGCATTGTGGTTGGATAATCTTATCCTGCAGCTACAGAAATCAGATAGGTTGCTTTAGTGGGGTATGCAACCTCATTAACACCCTATGTTGTGTAGCATCCTAATTATTTCGTTGGTTTTAGACTTCAAACTCTTATTTTAGGCCATCGTGGATCCATATTCTAAGTCGTCTTTTTTTTTTTTTTTTGGTCTAAATCAGGACTCAACCTCTTGAAACAAGATGGAAACCCCAGAAGAGAACAATGCTTTGGTCACTATGGATGTGTTGACTACTCCTGAAACACAGCCTAACAAGAGAAGGAAAAAGAAGTCCATAGTCTGGGAATACTTCACTATAGAAACTGTAAGTCCTGGATGTAGAAGGGCATGTTGTAAGAGATGCAAACAAAGTTTTGCATATAGCACAGGTTCTAAGGTAGCAGGTACCAGCCACCTCAAACGCCATATTGCTAAGGGAACTTGTCCAGCAATCATACGCGACCAGGATAATAATCAGTTGACCCCATCCCAAGTCACACCAAGGAGTGGTGGAAGTGAGCTGCCAAAACGACGGTACAGATCTCCTGCCTCACCCTATGTTCCATTCGATCAGGATCGTTGCCGCCATGAAATTGCAAAGATGATTATCATGCATGACTACCCTCTTCACATGGTTGAGCATCCTGGCTTCATAGCTTTTGTTCAGAATCTTCAGCCCCGCTTTGACAAGGTGAGCTTCAACACTGTCCAAGGGGATTGTGTTGCAACCTACCTAAGGGAAAAGCAAAGTGTAATGAAGCTTATTGAAGGCATGCCTGGACGCTTTTGCCTCACTCTGGACATGTGGACCTCAAATCAAACTTTGGGTTATGTGTTTATAACCGGGCACTTCATTGATGGTGACTGGAAGTTGCATAGGCGAATTCTCAATGTCATTATGGAGCCTTATTCTGATTCAGCCAATGCTTTAAGTCATGCTGTTGCTGCTTGCCTGTCTGATTGGAGTTTGGAGAGCAGATTATTTTCTGTCACCATCAATCACCCACTGACTGAAGCTGGGCTAGAAAATCTTAGGCCTCTACTCTGCACTAAGAATCCTCTTATTCTTAATGGTCAGCTATTGATTGGGAATTGTGTAGCTCGGACCTTAAGCAGTATGGCTAAAGATGTGCTGGCAGCTGGGCAAGAAATCATCAAGAAAATCCGGGATAGTGTGAAGTATGTCAAGACTTCAGAATCCCATGAGGAAAAGTTTCTTGAGATTAAGCATCAGCTTCAAGTTCCTAGTGAGAAGAGCCCATCCCTTGACAATCAAACTCAATGGAACACAACATACCACATGCTTGTGGCTGCTTCTGAGTTGAAGGAAGTTTTTTCTTGTTTGGATACTTCAGATCCAGATTACAAGGAGGCCCCATCAATGGAAGACTGGAAGCAGGTTGAAACTTTATGCAATATCTTGAAACCTCTCTTTGATGCTGCAAACATCCTCACGACTTCAACTAACCCAACTGTTATCACATTCTTTCACGAAGTGTGGAAGATACACTCTGACCTGGCTCGTGCAGTGAACAGTGAGGATCCTTTCATCAGCAACCTTTCTAAAGCATTGCAAGAGAAGATTGATAAATATTGGAAGGACTGTAGCCTTGTTTTGGCAATTGCAGTGGTCATGGATCCCCGGTTCAAGATGAAGCTTGTTGAGTTCAGTTTCACAAAGATTTACGGAGAAGATGCTCCCACATATATTAAAATTGTTGATGATGGCATTCATGAGCTCTTTCTTGAATACATAGCACTTCCTCTTCCACTAACACCAACTTATGCAGATGAAGGGAATGCTGGAAATAATGCAAAGATGGAGGAATCTCAAGGAGGAAATCTTCCCGCAGACAATGGACTGACTGATTTTGATGCATACATCATGGAGACTACCAGCCAACATTCTAAGTCAGAGTTGGATCAGTATTTGGAAGAGTCTTTGTTGCCTCGTGTACCAGACTTTGATGTGTTAGGTTGGTGGAAGCAGAACAAACTCAAGTACCCAACTCTTTCGAAGATGGCACGTGATATTTTGTCAATTCCAGTATCTGCGGCTGCTCCAGATTCAGTCTTTGATATGGTGAACAAACAGCTGGATCAGTACCGTAGTTCACTGCGACCTGAAACAGTGGAAGCCCTTGTCTGTGCCAAGGATTGGCTTCAATGTGGATCGGCAGATGTCTCAAATGGACCTGTTAAGATGGAGTTTTAGATGTTATGGAGAATGGTAGGTGTCATTTCTAGTTTCCTAATTGACCGTTAGGCCTGTATTTGTACAATTAGAAGGATTGATTGGATGTTTGGACACTGAAAACTTAATTTCTAGAATAGATCTTATTAGCTGTTGTTACATATTTCCATTGCGTATCTTAATTGTATTTTAAGATTTTGTAGACCAGCTAAGGTAACATGAAAGTAATCAACTTGTAACATGAAAGTAATCAACTTCTCAAGAGGGATTTTGCTCCAAAAATCCAACTTAGCAGGTGGGAGAGCGTAGTTATGGGAACTTGGTTGGTCATTTAATCTGCCTGTGTTGTCCTTTCTGGTTAAAAGGTCTGTAAGTCACTGGGATTTTCCTTTTCTCTGTTGTCTGTGCGTGGTTATATGCAGATATTGCCTTTGCTTTGTGCTCTGCTGGTTACATAAAGCCTTTAAAAGTGTATTTAATTTGGTTCGAGGGAATCAGAGAAGGAAAATAAAAGGATATGTGATATCCTTTTGTTTCCTTCTCATCCTTCCTTTATGTGAATAAATGAAGGAATAAAAATATAAAATAAAATAAAAGACTTTGTGCTTTTATTTTTTTTTAAATTTATTATTAATTAAATAGAGAAATATTTACTTTTTTTTTTACAAATTTTTTGTTAATTAAATGAAGAAATTGAGAAGAAGTGTGAATATCATATAAATAATCATTTGATGAAACATTATTTATCATAAACATTAAATTAATTATAGTAAGAAAATGAACAATTTGAAGAAATCCAAAAGCTTGATGTTTAATACATGAAATGAAATTGTTGAAACAAGTACTCAAACTAGTTTGACTATTGGAATGATGAAAAACAACTTAAATTTATTGGGAATTGTGCTTAAATTTGAAATTTGTAAGCAAAAGTGAGCAATTGTAGATAAATTGAAAATTTGAAAATTTGCAAGTTGTGTGTAGGGGTTGGCCGTATGTTTTTTGATCCAAAATTTCCCTTTTTGTTTCCCTTTTCTTGACTATAACTCTCTACTTTTTACAATTACAAAAATCACATGTAATTTCTTGATGTAGTGGAATACCTTAGTAGTCAACAAGGTTAGATTGCCTTTTAGATTTCGCCACCTGTTCTCTTATCTGATAACTCATACTCATAATTGAAACTTTCTCTAAAATTTCAGTTAAAATAGACTCAACTTAACTAAAAAAGATAATTAAAAAATAAAATCTTATCTTTTTACCTCATTTCTTCTAATATAGTAGTTGATTTGTCATAAGGCCCAGAATTGCATATCTAACATGACAAAATCTCCTCCATCCATTTAAAATTTTTTTGACACGTGGTATAATCTTAAATTTTTGCAATTTATGGTGTAAACAATGCCCCCAACAATTGGTTTTATGGAAATAAATCCAAGTGTTTTAAATTAAATAAATTGCGTGGACAACTTCAACCCTCATGCCACATGTCAGATTTTAGCCATTAAAATGCAGATGTTAAACAGCTTTAAGATTTGGTGATGTAGCACAACAAACTCCACATAGATTTAAAAGCAAACATACAAGCATTTGCCAACATTAAAACACGGCTTCCTTCTTTCATACCCTCTTTGTCCATGCTTGCGGCAACTTGCTTGTTGCATTTTCTGTTCATATTTAGCAGCAGGTTGAAATTTGTTACTACCAAAATTTGGCCGTTCTGGTTGCTCACAGCTAGACTTGGCCAGCTTACATATTTAGTTCAACACTTTTATTCAATTATAAAATGCTAAACAAGAAAAAAAAAAAAATGCTATACAATTCTTACCCCAAATCTAACTCAGGTAGAATTCATGGTATCTAGACCTTTAGCCTCTCATATTGTAGGATAGTAAGGCTTAAGGTAGATTTAATTTATTTTTCGAGGGTGTAACTCTCCATCTAGTGATTCAAGCCAATATGTTCCCCTTCTAAGCACTTTATGGATACGAAATGGTCCTTTCCAATTGAGAGACCATTTTCCAAATTTGGGATCTTTCTTTCCAGGTGGTGGAATTGCTTTCTAGACCAGATCTCTTTCTGTCAGACTTATAGATTTCACCCACTTGTTGTATGCTCGAGCCACTTTTAATTTTTGCATTTGTAGCCTATTTAAGGTTATCAATTGCATGCCTTCAAGGTCCTCTAATTCTAATATCATTGCATCATTATATTCTTCAGAAGTAAGACCATGTTGATCGCTATATACCATGATACGGCAGATAACTCCATAGGCAGAACAACATCATGTCCATAAGTTAAAGAAAATGAAGTTACCTTGATAGAACTCCTTTGTAAAGTTTTGCAAACCCAGATTGTGTCAGATAATAGCTCATGCCAACACCTTGGATTATGATCAACCATCTTTTCAAGCAGATTTATCACAATTTTATTAGAAGCTTCAGCTTGACTGTTGGCTTGAGCATAATGAGGGGTTGAAGTGAGTAAATGAAAGTTTATTTCTCTTGCAAATGCCTCAACTTATGAACCAACAAAAATTGTCCCCTAATCTGATGTTACTGTTTCTGGCAGACTGAATCTATGAAAGATATCTTCCTTGAGAAATTTAATAATATCGATTTGGTCTACCTTCTTCATTGGCTTTGCTTCCACCCATTTGGTAAAATAATCTATGGCAATAATAATGAAAGAATGCCCTTTAGTTAAAGGAGGATAGGTTTTACCAATCAGATTTATGGCTCATCCTTGAAATGGCCATGGCTTGACAATTGGATGGAGTTTTGATGCTGGAACTTTTTGCTGTGGTCCATGAATCTGGCAGGCTTTGCAACTTTTAGCATAACTAATGCAATCTTTCAAGATTGATGGCTAGAAAAATCCATATCTACAAATCAACCAGTGCATCTTAATTCCAGCTTGATGTGCACCACATATTCTGTTATGTACATTTGATATAATCTAGCAGTACTCATCTGGACCTAAACAACGTAGAAGTAGTTCATCATGTCCTTTATGGTAAAAACACCTTCTAGCAGAACATAATTCAAAGCCTGCGTTTTCGTCCTTCTTGAGGCCTTAAAACTTGGATTTTTGAGGTATTCCATGATCGGATAGCGCCAATTTGTCCGGGTCATGTCTATGGAGCAAGTAGAAATCACCATACCACGCTTGTGACTAGATGGCAGAATTTGTTTTTCCATAACAACAATTCTGCTCATCACGCCTTTTGGGACTTTTAAGCTCGAGGTGATTTATGCCATCTCATTGGCTTTTGTGTTCAAATCTTGTGTAACATGCCTTAAGATTACATCATCGAACTCCTCCAGAAGTGGTACAACTAGAGCAAAGTAAGGCGCCAAAGATAAACTAGTGCATTTGTATTCACCTTCTAATTGTTTTAAAATTAATTATGAATCACCAATTATTTCTACCATAGGTACCTTGAGTTCTACTAGCACTTCCAACCCAATAATCAATGCCTCATATTCAGCTTGGTTGTTGGTGCAGTTGAAATCTAATTGGAATGACATCTGGGTTTTCAGACCAATTAGAGAAATAATAACAATTTCTACCCTAGACATGGAATCTATGCTGGATCCATTAAAGACAAGCTTCCAAGGAACCAAATTTATGGAAAATAAATTAATACCTTTTTCCTCATCCACTTTTACTTCAAGGCACGGATGATTTGCTAGAAAATTTGCCAAGGCTTTCCCTTTGACAGCTTTTTGAGGTGTGTACTTCAAGTTGAATTCTAACAAAACTAAAACCCATTTTCCAATTCTACCTCTCAGCAATGGTCGAGACAAGATGTATGTTATTACATTTGTTTTTGAAATAACATAAGCCTCGGAATAAAGCAAATAATGTCTCAATTTTATTGTAGCAAAAAATAAAGTAAGACATAATTTTTCGACCGAATAATATTTCACTTCAGTCTTTGACAAACTTCAACTCAAATAATAAATAGCTTGCTCCTGCTTTTTATTGTTTTCTTGAGCTAGCAGACAACCTACAGATTCATCTGTGGTAGATATGTACAAAATCAAAGATTTTTCTCTCATAAAAGGCATTAAGATTGACAGCTTTGATAAATCATTCTTTATTTCCTCAAAGGTTGTATGATAAATAATGCTTTATTTCCTTAAAGGTTGTTTGGTGATGCTTTTCCCATTTAAAATCTGCTTTAGATTTCAACTTTAATAATGGTGAAAATACCCGTCTTTCTTGTCAGGTTTGAAATAAAACACCTTAGAAAATTTAATTGCCCAAGGAATCTTTGTAATTCTTTCTTACTTGTTGGTGGTTATGCTTCAATAACAACTCTTGCATTGTTCTAATCCACTTCCAAACCTCGCTCATGCACCAGTTATCCCCAAAACCTTTTCGGTATAAATGCTAAATGCACATTTTAAAGGATTCATTTTCAAACCATGCTTCCTCATTCTTTCAAAGGCTAGCTTTAAATGCATTAGATGTTCTTCATCTTCATTGGACTTCACAACCACATCATCAATATAAATGTCCATGAAATGACCAATCATGTCATGAAAGATGGCATTCATGGTTCTTTGGTAAGTTGCACCCGCATTTTTTAAACCAAATGGCATTACCACTCATTCATAAGTTCCAATAGCTTTCGGGCAGTGGAAAGTGGTCTTTGGAATTTCCTCTTCTGTTATGAAAATTTGGTTGTACCCATTGTGGCTATTTATGAATGAAAGAATTCGATGGCATGTTGCACCATTTACCAGCAAATCTGAAATAGGCATAGGATATTCATCTTTTGGTGTTGCCAAATTCAGATTTCTGAAGTCTACACAGATTCTCAACTTGCCATTCTTTTTAACCACGAGGACCACATTAGATATCCACTCCACATATTCGGAAGTTCTAATGAAACCAACCTTTAGCAATTGCTCTATCTCTTCTTTAACTTTCAAAGTGACTTGTAGAGACATTCGTCTGGGCGACTGCTTAAAAGGTTTAAAGCCTTCTCTGATTGGTAATTTGTGCTCCACCAGATTTCTGTCCAAACTTGGTATTTCAGAATAATCCCAAGCAAAACAATCCTTGTTTTCACACAAAATATTAATAATTTTATCATGCAAACATGGCTTAAGAGAATCACTAATAAATGTAATTTTTAGATTTGCCTCAGTACCCAGATTTATCTCTTCCATGGGATCTTGTACTTCTAGCTTCAGATCATCAAGTTTTGGTGGTGCCAGATCTAATTCCTCTAGAGTTATCTGATCCTTCAAGTCTTCCTCTTCACCTTTATAAACCACCTCCAATTTATCTACAAAGATTCGTTTTTCTACAAGGTAAGCTGTTAACTTCCTCTTGATTTCTTCCATAGCCTCCTTTTTCTGGAGCTTAATACGATCTTTCATCACGGAATTTCTTCAATTTCAGGCTCCTTCCTTATCCTAAAAGGAACAATTGATGTAGGCTTAAGAAGTTTATCACAAAC